ATTGACGGTGCAATACGTCACGGTCTCAGTCACTTCCAATGACTCCAAAATGATACCACATATTATCGATGTAAGTTTTTTTGCGTATACATTTAGAGCTTATGTAGTAACAATTATTACACACCAGCAAGGGGAGGTCAGTCTTACCCTAATCAATCAATGAATTGTCAACGAAATTATTGAGCAATGCATATAATATACGGCGCGAGTCGCGAAAGGTTTATCCGTCTGTCAATTTAATTCCTTGATTCAACTCGCTGATTTTTAGTGGCTTTACTCTATCGGATCATATGTATGTGCTTAAACTTTTATTATCAGGTATAGATCTTAACTATACTTTGTGCTTGGAAAGCTGCACAAAATAGGCCGAAAGCTAAACTAAAACGATGTTGGTAGGGAATGCGGCTTCCGTAGAATATTCACCATACTCACAATTGCAATACCCTATCCGAATGATTCATGGCTATATATATGCCAATGTCGTTTTTTACTCGATTCAAATCTTAATTATTTTATTTTATTCCGAGTCTATTGTTATGAAACAATAGTATATATCATACAATGTTTGCGATGCAGTTAAACCACAGAGGTTAATTTATCGTTATGCTTTATTTATATAAAAAGCATCGGTATCTTAAAATATTGACGTAGTATAAGTGATTTGTATAAAGTAAGATAATAATAAATGGACTTCCAACACCCCTGCTTTGCTTTGAATTTGGTCAGAAGCAAGTAATTCACATAATCTATAATGTTAAATACATTGGTTAGTAAAATCTTGTAAATTATTATGAATCTTGTTATATGTGAATTACACATGACAAACCCTTCACGAGATACTAAAAATAAAATTTTTAATGCAATGATAAAAATATTTATTTCGATCAAGCTCGATACTGTGGTAGGTAGGTGCCAAAGATAAATGATTTTTTGAGATACAATAATTTTATAATTCGCAATTATTTTTTCTTGCTTGTAAATTGTTTTTATTCGTGACGCGATCTAGTTTTTATGTATTTATTTTTTTAATTAGCTAATTGAATTATCTTATTGCGATCTTAATCCTTCTACTGAAGTAAAGGCGTTAACAATTTCGTTTAAACTACATGATTGGAGTGGGCCTTTCTAGAAAGCTTGGAGAGAGTTGAAAGCACTAGCTTTAATCAAGCGTGCGTCATTCAATATGTGAGCGCAGTCAGCGAAAAATGGTGCGAATTGCATGATCGTCTGAGTATAAAAGATTGAGTATTGATAGAAGATGTTTGCTGATAACCATCTGTTGAATATGATTACAGAATATGAGCTCGTGTAATTTGCGACACCTCTCCACATGGAATGATAATACCGAGTTTGATCAAACGCTACATTCAGCCCCCAAACGTGCAATGATCTGTCAAATGAGGCAGGACGGCGTCTCACTTGACAGCGACGGTGTGCGGACCCGTGACTACACAGTTGTTGTATTGAGTAGGATGAACTATGCAGGAAATCCCGAGTGCTTCGTGTTGACCTCAATCGATTGCTTTTTGGCTTGTTTGACTCTACGGATCATCCCACCCGCCACATGTATATCTGAACCAAGTCGGCCACCAGAGAAATAAAAGCCGTGGACGAGGCATCCCGTCCATCGAGTCGTAGATCTTGGGCATAGGAAATAGCCAAGCTGCACCAATTCGCATCGGATACTTGATGTCCTCGCACGCAATTACAAAAGGCTGTTTTGACTTCGCACTCACCCCATACACAGATCTCTACACATGCACCAGCAGACACACGGCTTCAACAATGTAGTGTGGTATTGTGCAGTGATACGGACGTTGGTGATTTCGGTTGGGAGTGTTTGTGTCTCGTGAGACACAATACATTATATTGTTAAAGCGTCGATGTTCAGATGCTTTGCGGGAGATGCTTCGAAAAGGCGCCAACAAAATGTTGCAGGTACTTTCTTGTTTGTGTAGTAGCTGTGTATTGCAGTACACAAACTGTTCCTTTCCAGTCCGCTTGACCTTATCACTTGCGTTCCCCTGCTAGAATCAGTCAAAGAAATTGTTGGGATGCCACGAAAACATAAGGGGCTCCACCAGACCTAATCGTCTGTCGAGCGACCCGATATGCCGCCAACATCTGTGCATGTCAAAAACCAGTTTACGACAATGCCCATTCTCGACATGCTTGTTCATTACAAAATAAACCCTTCATCGAACAACATCACGCAGGCAGATCGTCGTCATGCATACGCAACAATGCCTGACCGCAACCGACATTCAATAAAGCGCCATGGTTGTCTGACGTCTGTCAAGACTCAAATTTATCGATTGATGACATCCATTTAAATACCTCGCAGCCGCGTGCAGCTAGAACGTTCGCCAACTTCTTGCATAGTGCAAATGATAGATCACGCGTGTGATCTTCGAGTGGGCGGACAACAGCTACGTCTCCAAAGCCACTTGCTTCTAAGTCTGGTAGTCCTTTCGTCATGGAGAAGCAGAATTGCGTTTGCACAATCAGCTCGCAACGTAGAAAGAAAGAACCAATCCTGTTCTAAGCTCAGGCATTAACAAGGTTTCTTCTGATCTCAAACGTGCTCTTCGAGCCCTTGCACTGGCTATGACGTCTCTGCATCAGCTGCAGCTGCTAGTTCGGATTCTCATTCGCTGGATCTCTGTGCGAGTACAGATTTCTCGACTGCTCATTCCCAAATTTTCACGGTTCAGCTCAAGCCAGTCTTTTTCCCTTCGGGGCAGTCACGTCGGAGGGAATCCTCCCCTTGGGGAGCCGACGTGGTCGAAGATCTGACGCGGGCACGCTGCACTCGCAGTTGCGGGTGTGGGCGTAGGAGACCGACGGGTCGCGCAAGCGGCCCTAGCAGGGGTATTTTACGGACTGGAGGCGTACCCCGCGCCACGTGTCGCCGCTGCGGCGAGCGCACACTCCACGTCAAGGGGCCGCGCGAGCGGCTGAAGGGGCCACCATCGCAGATGGCTGAGCTCCTCGGAGAGATAGACGGCGGGTTGGCGTTCTCCACGCCACGCAGTCACTTCGGTGATCGCACTCCACGTCGGGGGCCGCGCAAGCGGCTGAAGGGGGCCACCATCGCAGATGGTTGAGCTCCTCGGAGAGATATACGGCGGGTTGGCGTTCTCCACGCCACGCAGTCACTTCGGTGATCGCACTCCACGTCGGGGGCCGCGCAAGCGGCTGAAGGGGGCCACCATCGCAGATGGTTGAGCTCCTCGGAGAGATATACGGCGGGTTGGCGTTCTCCACGCCACGCAGTCACTTCGGTGATCGCACTCCACGTCGGGGGCCGCGCAAGCGGCTGAAGGGAGCCACCATCGCAGATGGTTGAGCTCCTCGGAGAGATATACGGCGGGTTGGCGTTCTCCACGCCACGCAGTCACTTCGGTGATCGCACTCCACGTCGGGGGCCGCGCAAGCGGCTGAAGGGGGCCACCATCGCAGATGGCTGAGCTCCTCGGAGAGATATATGGCGGGTTGGCGTTCTCCACGCCACGCAGTCACTTCGGTGATCGCACTCCACGTCGGGGGCCGCGCAAGCGGCTGAAGGGAGCCACCATCGCAGATGGTTGAGCTCCTCGGAGAGATATATGGCGGGTTGGCGTTCTCCACGCCACGCAGTCACTTCGGTGTTCGCACTCCACGTCGGGGGCCGCGCAAGCGGTCCTAAAGGGGTTTGTTGCCTTATATGGCAGCATACCCGCGTTGTACGTGCTGCCGCTCCGGCGGTACGCATGTCCCCAGTCTACTTGGTCGCGCCAGCGGTCATGATTGACTCGTAGTTGGCTTCGGTAGGAGGGTCTCTGACCTCGTTGCCGTCGCCCCTGGCTCTACGGAGCCCTTTAGTTGTCGACCCGATACCCGGGCCGTACTTCTTGTCACACTTATCAGTCGTTAGTTATCATAATAATGGACGTACTTGACACCACCACAGATTTCTCGACTGGGCCACCGTCTACTTCAAGTAATGTCTAATCTCATTGAAGCACAACCTATACTTTCATCGAAACCTTTGCTGACGTGGACGCGCTTCGGCACACGGTACTTTTGGACGGTCGCGACGCAGGTTGTTGCCGAGTACTTTCCACGCTGGAGTGGTCGCCAACGATTTGAACGCATACGAACAGATACGCAAAGCTTTGTGTGCAGCGTGTTCGGTATCGGGCTTCAATGTGAAGATTTAAGGCGGGGACAACGAGCGTCGTTACCATGTCGATGCCCGCGTGTGTAGCGTGCCCATCGTCGTTTGCGTCACGTGTGGTCGTCATGACATTGTCAGTCCTGCGTCCACAAGGCGATCAGACAACTTCGCGTATTGTTGAAGGTTAAATTACTGCGCGTTGCTGCCGCCACGTAATGCCCGGCCGTCGGTTCCTTGCCACGTGATGGCCAGTTCGTGGTGCAGAAACGATCACGAAAATCGGGCGAGATAACAATCGCGAACAATCCGATCAATGCGTCCGGCTGCAAATCGTTCACCGCACATTACTATGCGCTCAAAAGACCCGCTCCGTTAATTCGTCCTGCCTCCGTTTGTCCTCTCGCGCTGCGACTGGTCAGCCCGTTTTCGCACGAAGGTCGTTGAAGAGAGCGAGACTGCTTCTTAGCTGGAGGTCCGACGCGACTTTGTAAACTGGGACCGTCCTCCCGGGCACAGCGCGTCGCTGATCTCCTTCCCGCAGCTAACAATTTGAGATTTGATAGAGCCGTCGCGGCGATTACTGTCGGGTGGCGAGCTCACAATGTAGCTGCTGAACATGCCTCTGTGAAAATGCACCTCACGCCAGCACGTCTGAATAATGAGTCAACGGACCACACGCCGAGCGAGCTGTGATTAGTCAACAGGCCTTAGCTTCTGGTCGTGACGCCGGGTTTGCCGCTGCCTTGCGATCCGTTTTCCACGATTTGCGCATGCGAGCGAGCGGGGCGAAACTGCGCCGTCGTACTGTCCAAAGCCACTGGTTCAGTCTCCATATCAACTTATGAAAGTTCCAGTCGCCCCCCACCACCAACACGTCCATGCCGTGGACCAGGGCTTGATCGAAGCCCTGAGCTACTTCTCCGAGGAGGCGACGGCTCCAGTCATCGTGAATGTCGGGACGCCGAGGAGGAACAAAGACTCGGTCGCCGAGAACGTCGACTTGATGCTGCTGTCGCTGGACGTCCAAGAACTCTTGCGTTCCGACGAGAACGACCAGCAACAACAACAACAACGACGAATTGTCAATGCCTCTGGACAAGCAATCGCAGGTGTGTGAATCGTCGGCCGAGCAACTGGAAATACAGTCGATGTCGTCGTCGTCTTCGTCGTCGAAGAACGCCGACCGGAAGCTGCGGCCATACTCGACATCGACACGACGCGATCGCCGGCGTCCGAAACATGAACTCGAGTACTTGCGGGCGAAGGTCGTGGAGCTGCAGGAAGAGTTGATGACCTTAGGTAAGGTCGATGGCCGTTCTTCTTGTGCATCTGTTGAGCTTTCCTACTGACTCTTGCTGCTTTGTTGCGCTACCTACCACAGGTCTCTCGAGCTGGAAAGAAATTGCGGAACGCCAGAAGCGGGAAGTGGCGACGGCTGTCGACAAGAACCGTCAGCTGCGGAATCGACTGCTCAATCAGCTGCAAGTCGCTCATGCCCTTGAAGCTTCGATTCGTCAGCATGAGAGTGACGCTGCGACGTTGTGTCAATACGAGTGGATGAACACAGGCATGAGCGAGGAAGACCGGTCTTCTTTTTCGAGGATAATGGACGAGCAAATCTTTGCTCAGCTGAATAGTACACTGGAGACGCAGTTAGCAGAAATTGATAGCGTTTTCACGACCCACGGGCTATCGTCTGTGCTACACAAGCTACAAGGTGGCTTTGCGTTCAACCGCGAAGCGAACGGGATCTCGTTTCGCTACGAGGAGGCGCGACTGCTGCCGTTCCCTTGGCAAGCATTGCACCATACGATCTGGAATAGTCTCCACGATGGCTCGATATATAAGCACACGGAAGCGCAGGTGCTCAGCCACGACCGGTCCAACCTCATTTTTCGCGACACGATTGAGCTATCCAAGTCGCGCCCGATTACTATTACGAAGTGGGCTGCTTTCCGACGACACATCGAGCAAGATCGCGTAGTGTTCGTGTGGAACATTTACGTGCAAATCGATGGCTCTTTGTCCGTGCGTCTAACGGAGAGAGGATGGACCACGACATCGACGTTTGAGTTCCATCGAGATGTGAGTCAAGGGACCAATGACTCAAGTGACTTTGTGCAAGGTTGTATCACTCGTATGGCTGTTCAATTGATTCCCGAAGTCTCCGAGTTCAAATCGAAGCAAGAGGCTCGGATGCACGTCGGTGAGATGGCGGACCATATCGTTGGCTACTTCCATCACAATTATAGTTTTGTCCATGAAGTCGCAGAGAAGCTCTTACAGAGCAGTCCTGGCACCGACGGCAACGAAGAAGGTGTAAAAAGCGGCGTGGTGCAGATGTTTTAATGTTGATATATACAGCCATGTCTGTTCCTTTGCACGCACGCACTATCGCTATCGCCTTTTTCGTTTGCTTTTGAGCGCTAAGACCTAGACGTGATGAGGACTGCAACGACAGCTCTCCCGGCCCATCCTTTCGTAGAGACAGGACTGACATCGCTTGGTCACTTAAGAATGAAAGAAAAATGCTGCGCCCACGCCAAAGCCGAATGGTGGTCTAGACTCCACTAAAAAATATGTGATACCTCACAATGCGCTCGGCGGCAATCTATATGTGGTATACAGACGAAGATGCAAGTACTAGATAGATTGCTGATGTTGGCCAGCAATGTTGTTCAATAATGAATCAAGGTCGACACTGTCAGCTGCCGCACCGACTTCTGGTTTTTTGATACAGCATTCTCCTTCACGGGGCACAAAAAATATTTGGCAAAGGCATGCCCAGGAAGTTTTGTCTCAACAACGCAAGGACGGGCAACGATCACAACCGGATATTGTGAGACTTTCATTCTCTTTGCGGGCGTGGACCGCACTCCGCGTTGATGGTATTTTCGTGCAAAGCTGGTACATTTCCAAGTTTAGCTTTCTTTAATTGACATCGATCCTCGGCGTAAACAGCAATTGCTCTGTCGATAAGTCAAAGGTGGTCGTTGCATACAGCTGTGACATCTTTGCTTTCTAAGGCTCTTGATATACGGCAGTGCAACCGAGACATTGCCTGCTACATCTTTGGGTACTGGCGTTCGGGATTCTGCTTGATATAGATGCACTAGCACTAAGTTTATTCGCTGAAGTTTTACTGTACGTGTTGGGCTGCGTCTAGTAGTAAGACGTCGGGCACTTCCCGCTCATATGATGGTACTTTGATTGAGCTAGTACCTTGCACATTAGAAAAGAGCTGCGAATGAAGTAAATATACTGAATAATGGGCACAGCACAGACATTTATTGCCATGACCAACGTCTCCAGACAACATGTTCAGGACTATCCGATGAAGATTGGCCAGCTAAACATTATACCAGCCGCCGGATAGTAGAAGTCACATGTCGTAGCCTCTTACTTCTACTCGCAATTTATCATTTTGAACCACCATTATACGTCTATCACAAGCTACAACTGCCGCCGTACTTCATAGGGTCTGCAGGTAGATGCACCAGCGATTCTAGCCACTTCAACCGCTTTGTCCGTGCTTGAAATTGACGAGAAAGTGCTGCTTACGTATAGATGCTGTTGTATTGACGTGTTGATGGATTAGCTACAACAAACGAAGTGTGTTGTAATATCCATGTTGTACAATTCGCAAACATCTGCTTGTCCGCCGAAGACGATTTGATCCTATTCTGTAAAGGGACGCAGCAAAAGTAGTGCCCTCTTCAGCCATGGAACTGTACGCTTCCCATTTTCTCTATCGGACGCAAGATGGTCACAGTGATCCGATACTTTGTTTCGAGATAACAATCACACAACGGACAGAGGCGCGCGGTGTAAAATAGACGGATGACTCGTGTGAGCTCCAGCCAATGGAGTAGTTTGGGACCTCAATGTCGGTGCATCAGTACCGCCATCGAATGGAAAAGATGACTATGATACCACTCTATTTGTAGGCCACATAAACTTGACATATGCGCAAGGGAGTTCAAAACATTCTTATAGAAACAGTCACCGAATATTTAGCTACGATCGTTTTCATTTAAATGCTATCTGATAATTTTCGCTTTATCCCTCCTAGGTTTTAAGGAGGAGTATGAATTACTATGCCCACCTAGCCAGCAAAAAATAATCACGTTCCTTACTTGCGACTCGAGCATTTAGTCTACTGGATACGCGTTCAATCAGCTGCGAGCTCTGCAAGTGACTAGATAGCTGCAACGTGAACCCGAGTATTTGTGCAATACATTTTTGGACCCCAAAAGAAAAGAAAACAATCAGGGAACAGAAAGAAAGTTAATCTACTACAATGCTAAGGCACTCATACAAACCAATATGATAGAGCGATCGAGGTTTGAGCTGCGGCTCGATTCCATAATTATTCACGTAGTGGGTAGAAGGAACGCTGAAACTAGCACTTTTTCGCAGCTAAAATTGTGCCGGTGAATTCTAAGAATATAAATTGTGCAAAAGAGTATTAGCGCTACGCGTGTCGCAAAGACGGAACGTGGTGGACGCCCGTGTGACCGCGACTTGAGTAAATTTACAGTATTGAAATACATGTATTCTGGGCACACAGGTTCGTTCCCACTCTCTACTGCGCACATTAAATGTAGCTCGCGCAAGCCTACGTATTCACTTTTGCTCATCATCTTGACATGTCACTGCCTTCCCGCTAAAGCAATATGTTAAGCTTTGTAGTCGAAAACGGCTAATGTCTTGCGATAGGAGGTCTTGCCCCTTGTTTGATAGTTGAAGACCAATTCTACGACCGTATCGACACCGCACATCCATATGGCAGCAATTGAACCTTGGTACAGTTAGGCTAGTCGGCACGGGCACACATACGAATCGTAAAAATTCAGAAGTTGGCACTTTCGGAGTGCACGTGAACATGCTAAACAACAGTATTTTGTCGCTGTTGTGTACAAAAATAGGCTCCGCCATACGTTATATCGCCACATTCAGCATCGAACACGCTGTTGTCAATACGCGACTGACTGCTGACAATAAAAAGGCTAACGGGGTCAAGCATGAGGGACAAGGCTAACGGAGACAAGATTACGGGCGTACACATCGAAGTAAAGTTGAAACTGGCAAGATATATGCCACCACAAGCATAACCAAGTAGCTTTGTTAAAAAGTGCACCGAACGAAGCAAGTCGTCTTATACCAGAAGCCGAGGCCAGTAAATCAATATATTTTTTGCCATGAAAACACATCTGGCGTCCACATGAAAAGCGGGGACATAATGCAGGCTCAACTGAGCTAAAGGATAGAGATTGCGGCAAAAGAGAGTCAACCAGACTTTTTGTGACGCTGTTAGAAAATATTTGTCCATTCTCAAGAGACATCTTCCGCTATGTTTGGATAAAATGATGTGGAAATATACCCGAATTTACCCCAAAAACGACAATTGTCACGGTAACGCGTCGTCTGTTCCTCTAAGTAGGGGTGTCGGGTTTGTTTCTACAAAACTATTGAGTCACACAATATTATGCTTGACGTAAGTTTGATCGGAGAAATATTTGAACCCTATCGCTTGTTACGTACGGAACATTTAGGACATTATTAATAATGTATTTGATGTGAAAGAATACATAAAAGATGTCCAATTTGAAAATGTCGCTTAGCGTTTGTCGACAAAAACACGGTGTATATTCGATTTTAAGCATATTCTATAGCATGGTTGTCATAACCAAATGATGCGTCCTTACAACTACCTAAATTTTTCTACATTAGGACAATAAACAAGCCGATTCGCCGCCCTGTGATAAGGCTTGCTAGCAGAAAAAATGACATGAACTATACATTTTGTTAAGAGATGGAATATAGTATACTACACTGAATCTATCATATTTTAATAGGCTAGATAATATTATATACTTCCGATTAAGCCAAGTTTTTTGCTGCATGTCGTCCGGTGCAAAGAACAATACCGTATTCATTATAACAGTACTCAGAATGCCGTATGCCAATTCAGCACCTCGACTACCATCAGTAGCATACCGGATATCCGTTTTTATCTCGCTAAAGCTATCCATCGAGCTCTATTGACGCGCAGTTACTCCTTGTGGTCTCTTATCATCTCGCCTCAATATTCCTCTCATGATGCGACATACACGCGTGTATATACGTTGGGTGCGCTAGTCTCAAATTGTATATTTGCGAAAGAAAAAACGAGGGCTGAACAATACCATTTTGGGGTAACACCAAGTGTGGTATCAAATCTACATTAATCATCGGCAACGCATATTGATAAGTAGACCCAATTGGTCAATACCTCATTTTGCGGATTACTCTGTCATTCAATCATTGCTGCTTTTGCTGTAGTGCGATAATCTAGATACCACTATATTAGAAATTTATGCATAACCAACTCGACGATGTCGAATCGGCCAGATGCTTTTTACTGCAACAAAAAACATTGGAAATACATTCAGAAGCTTGTACCATGCTCATCGATCGTGTTCGAGGACCTTGATCACAGTCTGTGATGGTACTGCATTTTATATTTAAATTTATACTGCGCTGCTTCTCGTTTACTTTATTTAATCAACATCACAGGAAAAGAGTACACTTGTGTACCATTAGGACCAGAAAAGATCGCTTTAGATAAAAGGAGCAATATTACAGAATATGATACGAATAGACGTATTATAACGCTAAGTGGATCGCGTTTACGGATTTTTGACGTCTCGCAAATACCTACATCATAATGAGTGGCCGATTATACTAAAACTACAAGTACCATAGTAAATTATTGAGATGCGTGATCTTAACTTTTATGGTCTCATCTAATATATGCCTTACGCCAATTATTGCAGCTATGGAGTATTTTTCACTACAGTGTTTTAAATGCAGCGCATCGTAATCTATGCGTGGTACGCTTTTCATTTTTCACCTTGCACTGCATTCTTCATTCTAACAAGCTAGAATGACTCCTTTTTATTTAAATCGCCGAGTTTAACCTACTATATATATTAACACGATATTTGTGACTACATGAGTCCAAAAAAGCAAAAGTTATCACTGCACTTACTGTATAGCTAAAACCGTCATCGTGCTGTGGTTTCTAGACTGTTTATACTCGCCTGATAAACATCAAGCAGTTATAGTACGACACCAGACGTGAGAGTAACTATAAAGACTCCAGCCTGTTTAATTCCATTGAATATAAAAAGGTCCAACCTTTTAGATAGCATAACCGAATCATAATGAGGTGACTATAGTTGTCAAGATAGCCCACCGTTCCGGAATAAAAACTACATAAAAACTGCTTATGTTTTTTAAATTCACCCTACGCAATGATTTTATAAATTCGTGCTATAATGGTTTTATAAATTACAAATTGCTAC